CCCCCAAGAGGTGTGCCATACACCACGACCCCCATTCCCCTCTCCCCAATCCCTCATTCCCTACCCCCGCCCCCATGTATTAGGTTGTCTACTGCCTTCATATTAGAATTGAGCACATTGGATTCTTGCTTCTCTATTCTTATGATGCTTTACTGATAAGAATGCGTTCCAGCTCCATCCAAGTTAATACAAAAGATGTAAAGTCTCCATCTCTTTTAATGGCTGAATAGTAGTCCATGGTATACATATACCACAATTTGTGAATCCATTCCTGGGTTGGTGGGCATTTAGGTTGTTTCCACATTTTGGTGATTGTAATTTGAGCTGTGATAAACAGTCTAGTGCAAATGTCCTATTTCTTTTTCTTCTGGGTAGATATGCTCAGTAATGGGATTGCAGGATCAAATGGGAGGTCTAATGTGAGTTCTTTGAGGATTCTCCATACTTCTTTTCAAAAAGGTTGCATTATTTTATAGTCCCACCAGCAGTGTAAAAGTGTTCCCTTCTCTCCACATCCACACCAGCATTTGTAGCCTTTAGATTTGTGATGTGGGCCATTCTCACTGGGGTTAGGTGATATCTCAGGGTAGTTTTGATCTTTTGCATTTTCACATTGAGTTTAAAACCAACCTGTCAATTTTGTCAAGAAAAAAGATGCTGGGATATTTTGTGGGAATTACTTTGCATTTTTAGGTAGTTTTCAGAAAATAACCTGAAAAACAGCATCTTAACAATAGAAATCACCTAACCAGGATGTCCAACTATTTTTTTTTCTGCTACACATTAATGTGTGGGCCACACATTAAAAACATAAACACTAACAGAAGCTGAAGAGCAAAACAAAGTCTAGCCATTATTTTTGCCATGTCTGACACCACAGATAAGCAAAACAGGACTCAGATAAATCTGCATGTGGCCTACAGGCTGTAAATTGGACAGCCCTGAATTCTAATCCATGGCAGACTTTTTGGTATTCTTTTCCTCCATGCTCTATTTATCCAAATCCTCGCACAAATCTTCTAAAGTACATTTAAACCAAACATCCTCTACAAATCTTGCCTTCCCTTCTACAAGTTGCTATGGCACTTATGGGCACTGTGCCATAGCCTATAAATAACATAGAATTTTGCTTTCAGAATAATATACTTCGTAACAAAGAAAAACAGCATTTGCATTTCTATTAAGAATGAACAGTTTCTTCCAGGGCAGTGTGGCAAAGTTTGATGACTAATTAAGAAAATGGCTTCAGATAAGAAGGAATTCCATTTAGACGAGAATGTTTGGCTTTGCTCCTTTGATGGTTGCAAGAAGAGGAGATAAAATTAAACAAAGTTTATAAATACCTTAAGCCTCTTTTCCTCCTTGATGATAAACAGACATACTGTATCTTTGGAAGTCTGTATCAAAATCTGACTTAAGAATTTCTCTAGTCAACAAAATTACTCAAGTCGCATCTGTGCTTTACCATGCAGTAAGAGCAGGACGTGGGAGGCAAAATACAAAAATAGAGAACCGGTGAGGCATCTACCTATTAGTACGTGTTACTAAAGGAGAAACGAAACCTGGGTTTCTTCCCAAACCAAATATCAGGGATCTCTCGAAAAGCGACTAAAAAGCACCATGATATCCAAGATAAGAGGGAATTGTATCATAAGGAGCAAAAACTGAACTGTAATACTCCCTAGCTTGCTCCAAGTCCAGCATCACCTCCCCTCCTTGTTCCTCATCACCTCAAACCACAGTAAAGGGAACAACACAAATATCAACTGTAAGGCTAGACTTGGACCGTTTTTATGTATTTACATTATTAAGAATGTTGACGTGGTGCCAGTCTTCACCAAGCCCCTGATAAACACCTGTGCCGTACCTGCGCGCGTGGGGGTATGAAGTAGTGGCTGTTTGGGGCTGAACTGTTGAAACGATATCAAACTCATATGGTGTTCTAACCACCAGTACTTTAGAATGTTGCTGTATTTGGAGAGATGATCTTTTAAAAATCAATTAAGTTGTTTTTTTTTTTTTTTTTTTTTTTTTTTTTTACTTTTTTAAGTAAAAAAAGATCATTAGGGTGTGCCCTAATCCACTAAGACTGATATTCTTTCTGTAAGGAGAGGACATTAGGACACAGAGAGAAGATGGTAGGAAGGAAGACACAGGGAGAACAGGGCCATCTATTAACAAAGATGAGAGATTTCGGAAGAAACCAGCCCTACGGATACCTTGATCTTGGACTTCTACCCTCCAAAACTGGAAGATTATGCTATAGCAACTCTAATAAACTAATATTCTGGTTGTGGTATAAAGAGAGCCAACATTGTATTTGAGGAGAGTAGATTTTAAATAAAAAGTGGCTTCCAAAATTCAGAAGGAAAACATTGAACAAAATAACTTTCAGATAAGCAACAGTCCAGCAAACCAATGTTATCAGAAAAAGCTGAGTGCGATGGCTCATACCTATAATCCTAACACTCTGGGAGGCGGATGTGGGTGGATCACTTGAGCTCAGGAGTTCAATACCAACCTGAGCATGAGTGAGAGCCTATATTTACTAAAAATGCAAAAACTGAGGCAAGAGGAGTGCTTCAGCCCGAGAGTTTAAGGTTGCTGTGAGCTATGATGCCATAGCCCTCTAGCAAGAGTGACAAAGTGAGGCTGTATGCCAAAAAACAAACAAACAAACAAAAAACAAAAACAAAAACAAAAACCAGAGAAAGCTATCTAAAAAGCCTGATTTTGTTTTCCAAACGAACATGAAGGAACAGAAAAATAAACGTGTATATACTCCTCTTATTTTTAGTAAATTAAATTAGCCCTTGCTGCCCTTTGCTATTTAAAAATATATTGAATACCAAGCTATATATTGGCATATAACATAGGGTTCCAACTTGTGATCTGAAGTCATAGGGCTTTAATTTCAAAGTACATAGTTGTGGCTGACACTCAGTAGACTTGGCTCCTGAGTTTTAGATCTTTACCAATAATCCAGTTGTCACCATTTAGTCATTTTAATTTCTTAAGATCCCCCAAAGTAGAGAGGAACATGGAGTTTCTACTCCTTACCTCTTCAATTTGGAATTTGGGCTTCCCCACTCCCCCATTTCCAGTTTACTGATTATTTAATGCATCAAATTTTAATTGAATGCCTATGCTGCTTTTTCTAGTAGCATTATTGATAGAGCAAGAGCAGATGCGAGTGTGTGCACCTGCACACGCCCCTCATGATTTTAAATTTTCAGAGAAAGTCAAACATGTGGACGAGAATGCCCTACTGAAGGCAACTGGAATCACAGACATTCCCTAGATACGCTCCTTTGCCACATTTCAGGAGCTGCGTTCTCCTCTGTGACTCCCAGTCAAGCCACCCACAACAAGAGACATGTCCTTGATTGCACTAACTACCTTATTTTTTGAGAATTCAGTGCACCCTTTTAAAACCAAACTGAGGTGAAATAAATACCTCCTGGGTTTACTGTGCTTAGAATTCACTGAAATCACCTAACAACAACCTATTTCATAATGACTTTTATAAGGTTTCTTCGCTAAACCTGTGATAGTTGTTTCATCCTCCCACTTTTTTCTTCTGTAAGCAAATTTGATACTTTTTTTGATATTTTCCCTTTAGTAATTACTTATGTACCAGATATATGCTTCCCCAAATAATTTTCATATTAGAAGGTTGAAATTAAATATATTGGGCTATCAACTAATCAACTACTATGTAAACCTTGTAACCACAAAATAGATAAACACGTAATTATTTACCTATTCTGCAAACACTTAATGAGAAACTACTATGTACCAAATATTGTGCTCGGCTCTATGGATCAGAAGAGTTTACTGAGAGACAAATGGCAGCCTCGTGGAGTTTTAAATATTGCTGAGAATATGCAAAGTATGTAAAATATTGAATTCATCTACTTCTTGTAGGTATATTTTTGCCTACCATATCTTGATGCTCCATTTTTAATGCATACACATTATGTGTTTGTTTGTTTTGTGGAGAATTGACCCTTTAACAGTCTGTGATGCTCCTCTTATGCTGATAACTTTCCTTCCTGTAAAGCCTATTCCCTCTGAAATTAATACACCTCCTTCCCCTTTCTTTTGATTAGCATTAGCACACTAGGTCTCTCTCTGTTCGTTTACTTGTAATCTGTATGTGTCTTCATATGGAAATTTGGGTTGTTGTAGACAACATGTAGTTTTGTCTTAATTTTTAATGAACTACAATCTCTCTTTTTTCTTTTTGAGACAGACTCTCACTTTGTCTCCCTCGGTGGAGTGCTATGGCATCACAGCTGACAACAGCAACCTCTAACTCTTGGGCTCAAGTGATTCTCTTGCCTCAGCCTCCTGAGTAGCTGAGAGTACAGAGGACGGCCACAATGCCAGGCTATTTTTAGAAATGTGGTCTCGCTCTGGCTCAGGCTGGTCTCAAACCTGTGAGCTCAGGCAATCTACCTGCCCTGGCCTCCCAAGTGCTGGGATTATAGGCGTGGGCCACCACGCCCAGCCAATCTCTATCTTTTAATTGGTACATTTAGACCATTGACTTTTAAAGTCATCATAAACAGGACTGGATTAATAGCTACCACATATGTGGTTATTTATTTGTGTCTGGTTTTGTCTTCCACTCTTTTACTGCCTCTTCTGCATTTAATTGAGCAATTTTTATGATTTCTTTTCTTCCTTAGCATGTCAATTATACTTATTTTTCTATTTTTTAAAATGGTTTATAGCTTGTAATAAATATTTACAATTAATCATAGTCCACTTGCAAATAACACTTTTCTAATTTACAAGTAGTGCAAATTTCTTGTAATAACGAAATATTCCTACTTTTTTCTTCCTGACTCTGGTATCCCTGCTGTTATTCATTTCATTTATATACAGGTGTGCCTACACATAGCATGCATAATATGTGCTGATAATTATAATTGTAAATAAACTGTTATATTTTAGATCAATTAAGAATAAGAAAAGTAAAGTTTCTCTTTTACCTTCACGTATTTCTTCTCTGATGCACTTTCTTTCTTTATGTAGATTCACATTTCTGACTAATTATCATTTTCCTTTTTTTCTGAAGAATTTAACATTTTCTGCGAGCATGCCTGCTGGTTTAAAAAAATTACTTCAATTATTATTCCACTGGGAAAGTCTTTATCATTCACTTTTGAAGGATAATATCAGAGGTTTGATGTGTTTTTTATTTTTGTTTCTATATAGGTATAGTATTTTTTCCTCTAGCTTCTTTCAAGATTTTTTTCTTTATGTTTAATTTCTGCAGTTTGATCATGATATACCTAGATATAGTATTTGTTTTATTTTGTTTTAGTGTTTACCCTGCTTGGTGTTCTCTGAGCTTCCTGGGTCTATTGTTTGATGTCTGACAGGTAAAATCCTCAGCCTTATTGCTTTAAAAATTTCTTCTGGTTTCGGGCAGTGCCTATCACTCAGCGAGTAGGGCGCTGGCCCCATATACCCAGGGTGGCAGGTTCAAATCCAGCCCTGACCAAACTGCAACAAAAACATAGCGGGGTGTTGTGTGTGTGTGTGGGGGGGTGCGCCTGTAGACCCAGCTACTTGGGAGGCTGAGGCAGGAGAATTGCCTAAGCCCAAGAGTTTGAGGGTGCTGTAAGTTGTGACACCACGGTACTCTACTGAGGGTGACAAAGTGAGACTCTGTCTCAAAAAAAAAAACAAAATTCTTCTGGTTTCTTTATTCTTTTTCCATTGTTCCCGTTATACATTTGTTGTACTTTTCATAGTTGCCCTACAATTCTTGGATCTCCTTTCTTTTCCTTCTCTCTCTTTGTGTTTCTACGGCCATATGCTTGTGTCTGGAGATTCTTCTTTCAGCCCAAGACCAGTGTACTAATTGAGCCCATCAGAGACATTCATTTCTATTATACAGTTTTCTATCCTTAGCACATTTTTAGTTCTTTCTTAAATTTCCATCTCTCTGCTTACATTGCTCACCTCTTCTTATATGCTCTATGCTTTATTATTTGAGAATTTAGCACATTAATCATAGTTTTTCTAAATTCCTGGTCTGAAAATTCCAACACCCCTGCCTTATCTGAGTCTCCTTGTGTTGTTTGCTATGTTTCTGTAAACTTTGTATTTTACCTTTTTGTATGCCTTGTAATTGATGTTTTGTAGCCTGACATGATGTAGTGGGGAAAAGGTACTGCTGTAAATAGTCCTTCCGGAACGTGGTGATAGGTGGAGTAGGGAGTGTTCCCTACTGGCATGATTAGGTCTCAGTCTTTTAATGAGACTGCATCTCATTCCCATTCCCTGCTTTGATAGGACAGCACGTTGAGAGTAAGCTAGAGCTGTGTCTCATTCTCAGTCCCCTCTACTTCCCATTCCCCGCTTTGATAGGACAGCACGTTGAGAGTAAGCTAGAGCTGGATATTCTTTTTCCCCATGTGGAAATCTAGAGGAGTTGAAGTTCAGTATTCTCCTTCTCCCACATGGAAGTTTGGAGGTGGCTGAAGTTGTATATTTCCTTTCTATGGGTCAGTTAAGCTCTGGGAAAAAAATGAATAGTTAGGTTCTTATAAAACCATTTCTCTTTATATCTTGAAACTATTGTTAAGAATGTCATAGTATACTTCAAAATGGTTACTTTCCCTTTCCCCTTTTGGAAGCAAGAGGGGATGTTTCTCCAATATTTATTGTGAGAACCTTGGTTGAGCTCTTAGAGGTAAAATTCTCAAAAGTGTGGGGACTTTCTAATGAATGAATACTGAAAATTTTAATTTTCAGACTTGTCCACACTGACCCTCCAGTAGTTCATTAATTCCAGTTTGGATTTTCTTATGTAGGCACTTCTGCCCATGAGTTTTTCTGCTTATGGATTTCTGCTCCAGTAAGTTGTAATTCTCTACATTTGCCCATCCACCTCTACAATTTTGAGGGAAACATTCTACTCTGTGACCTCATTTCTCCAACAGATCCAAGAAAAGTTGTGGACATTTTCAGTTTGTTTAGTTTTTCACCTGTTAGGACAGAGTAGTGACTTCCAAGTTCCATATATTCTGGACAAGAAACCTCACTGCATTTTGTAAGCAGATAACCTCTCTAGTTTTGTGGGTTCACAACGGGACAGGAATTCTACCTCAGTATAAATCATATCTTGAGACTCATCTCTATCTTATTTAGATGATATATAGATGTGGGTTTCTGTATTGGTATGATCAGGTCTCAGTCTTTTAGTGAGACCTAATTGAACTTGGAGTAGATACTTAAATAGGTTAAAAATTGGGGCACCGTTGGGATGGTGTGAATGATTTTTCATATGAGAAAGACATGAAGTTTGGAGGACCAGAGGGAAGTATGCTATGGACTGAACTGTGATCCCTCCAAATCCATATGTTGGAGCTCTAACCCTAAACATGTCTGTATTCAGAGATGAGGTCTTTAAGGAAGTAATTAAAATTAAATAAGGTCATACGATGTCCTAATAGACTACAACTGGCATCTTTGTAAGAAAAATAGGAGACACCAAATGTTTGCAGGCAGAGAGGGAAGGCAGCCATCTGCAAATGAGGAAGACAGACCTCACCAAAAATCAGTCCACTCAGCACTTTCATCTTGAACTTCTCGTCTCTAGAAACTATGAGAAACTTAATTTCTGTTGTGTGAGTCATGAGTTGGTAGTATTTTCATGACATCTCTGGTAATCTAAAACAGGTTTCAAATGAATGGTCCACATATTCAATGAGGTTTTTCTGCCCTGACTGCACTGTTAGTACTCAGCATTTCCCAGCATCATATGACCATTAGTATTTCTTTTCAGTTTTCTGCCTATTATTAGCCTATTTCTGCTAGACTTTATGCAGTCTTATATACTTGCCCAGCTCAGTTCTAAGCAAAAATCTACAGGAAAAAACAAAACCCACATAGAGTCATAGGACTCCCTTTTACAGAGTTCTCTTTTTGTAATACTTTGCTATTTCAGGTGGACTGAATTCTAATCTCTGTGATTTTATCTTAGTGCAACCTCCACTCTGCAGTTGATTTTCACCTCCCAGTTTACCTCTGCTCTGGAAAGTACCCTCAGGTGGAAAGCTGGAGAAATATGGAGATCACTTTTTTCTCCCCCTTCTCTGAAGGCTTGGAGCTATGCAGTGTCTGAAAACTATTGCCACATATATTTTGCCCGGTTTTGATGTTGTTTACAGTGGGAGAGTTATATTCAATACTTGTTATTCTGGCAGGTATAGAAACCTGATTTTAATAAGGATTTTCCCCTGAAAAGTCATATCATATAAGAGATGATGTATGTTCTTGCTATACCTAACAGCTCATCATCACACCCAGGAAGTTCTTAGGAAATATTTGGCAGCTGTCACACATCATGCACACACACACACACACACACAAAAACTCCCAAAGTTTATATATGCAAATCTGTACTATACTCCATGTACAAACAGTGATTGTGAGTGATATGATACCATCCAACAGGTTTTAGGTTTTAAGTAATTATCCGAGTCCTAAAGTAGGAACGGTGACAAAGAAACAATCAGAACTAAGTTTAGATCTCCAACCATAACTCAGTGATAATAATCCAACATTATTAATATTTTATTTTAATGTTTAATTTTTTTTTGAGATACAATATCACTTTGTCGCCCTCAGTAGAGTACTGTGCGTCATAGCTCATAGCAACCTCAAACTCTTGGGCTCAGGTAAACCTCTTGCCTGAGTTTTTCATTTTTAGTAGAGACAAGGTCTCACTTTTGCTCAGGCCAGTCTCAAATCTGTGAGTGCAAGTGATCCACCTGCCTTGGCCTCCCAGAGTGGTAGGATTATAGGCATGAACTACCATGACCGGCCATCTTTTTTTTTTCTTTAATTTGTACAGATAGCTGTAAATATTTAACTTATGAAGCAGAGAGGTACAGTGAAGGTGATGTAAAATTTGGGGTCAAAAAATATGAATTCAAATTCTAGCTCTTTGTTCATTAATTTTATGTCTATAGGAAAGTTATTTGGCCTCATTCTGTCATTCTTTTATTTCAAAAATGGGCTGGTAAACTTGCAAGTGCTATTTCAAGGCTAAGTATTATAGAAAAAGAAGTTGGTGTAAGGTAGGCATTCAATAAACCTTAAATCTTATAAGAAAAAGACAGAATTGGCTCAGTGCCTGTGGCTCAAGTGGCTAAGGCGCCAGCCACATAAACCTAAGGTGGAGGGTTCGAATCCAGCCCAGGCCCGCCAAACAACAATGATGGCTGCAACCAAAAAATAGCCAGGCGTTGTGGCGGGCGCCTGTGGTCCCAGCTACTTGGGAGGCTGAGGCAGGAGACTCACTTGAGCCCAGGAGTTGGAGGTTGCTGTGAGCTGTGATGCCATGGCACACTACCCAAGGGGACAGCTTGAGGCTCTGTCTCAAAAAAAAAAAAAGACAGAATTGTAATCTTTGAGTATTTTGAAGATTTTTAAAGTTTTTTTTTTAAAAAAGGAAAACCCACTATTTGTTTATAATGGATTCCAAAGAAGCAATTAAGTTGACTAAGAAATGAAATTGATGATTCACATCAAAGACATGAAGTGATTCCTAATTTTCCCTCTAAAAGGAAGTTTAATAATGGTCAGCTAAGGAATACACTGAAATGTTTACAGAAGTCTTAACAGGTTCATATCACTGGTTGAGATAGGTATGTATTTTCTCAGGGTTATAGCTATGAAGAATTGTATCAGCAGCCTAATCCTCCTAATGTCTGACTGGCTTGTGACTTGGCACTGCGTCATGACTGAGCTTTTGTTTAGCAATTACGAGATCCAATCCTTCAGAGAGCCTTACGATTTGTGGTTTTAATACTACAATCTGAGGGAGTCTCAAGCTTTGCGGATGTTCTTTAGGGATTAGTATTAAGGTCTTACGTATAATTTCAGCTAAAAAACAAAAATAGAAAAAGGAAGAGGGAGGAAGAGAAGAAGGGAGGGAATGAAAATGGAAGAGAAGGAAGAAGGGGAGAGGAAAAAGGAAAATGAAGAGAATTATTGCTCTTA